GATCATTCTGAAGAGCGACTGATGAGCTGTCTTGCCTGGACATCCCTTTCATTAGACGGCAGCCTGCCCTTCCCTGAATAACCTAAGAGCCTCCGCAGCCGGGAAGAGAGATGAGGCTGCCAGAGCGGTGCCCAGAGGCCCGGGGCTTGATGACAACACAGCATTATGAAAAAGCTGTAATGCCATTCCACTCCTCTACCTCCTCTTTAATCACCCAGGGGACAGCAGAGGGACAGGGCTGGGATGGCTGTCTCTGAGGCTGCCCTGCTCCTTCGTCAGAGCAGGAGGGGGAGAGGCCAGGTGGGAAGCAGGTTACTCCATGAATGGGGGTGACCTAGGTTTGCTCTTTGTGGCCAAGTTTGATCCTCCGTGTTATAAACAGCCATGCTTAAAAGAGATCATCTGGATTAGAGAAGGAGAGTTGAAGGCCACTGAGCCCTCAGCTGGGATTCCCAGGCTCCCTCCTGTTCCTACCAGCCAGCTGCAAACAATTCTGCCCTAATTGTGCACGTCTTCGGGGTCTCAGGGGATGCTAGAGAATATAGGCTAGGGGAAGTTAACCCCATCATCCATGCTGGGTTAACACTTCCTAGCATGGCTGCTTGGGGGTCACCCACATTCACAACCAAAACGCCTCTCCATGCTCTGTAAGTGAGCCCCATAAACTCGTATGCCCCCCCAGTGAACTCTGGTAGAATCTTACCTTGGTTTGTAGTCAGGACAACAAGGTCTATGCCTCCCAGGGGAGATAGTCCTGCAAGGGTGTTTCCTGTCTCCCGTCTTTGGGACCATGTGAGGGTCTCACAGATGACTGAGGTGGGTGTGCCAGCCTACTGTGTGAGAGGATTTAGCCAGAGGAAGGGCCTAGTCAGAACCTTCCCAGAGGACTGCAGGCCCTGGCTTCCCTCAGGCCCTGCTTACCCTCCTTCATCTCCTTCCTCCTGTCAGGTATAGTATCGACATGACGGTAACGGAGAGAGAGGCCATTGTAAAGACTGGCTAGGCTCTCATCAAATCCACTTCTTCTTTAGATAAGTTTCCTCATGAGTAGAAATTTATAGCTCGTAATTCTAGGGGCTGGATCAAAGTGCTATCAGATTTGGTCTGGTGAAAGCCGGTTCTTCATAAATGATGCTAGTGTGCTCCCAGAGAGGAGGGCAAGCGGGCCCCTTTAGGCTGGGCTCCAACTAACTGTGTGGCCAAGGATGACCTAAAACTTCTGGTCCTCTGCCTTTCCCTTCCCAATGCTGAGGTTACAGGCACTCCTCCAGCTCTTTTGTGTGTGTGTGTGTGTGTGTGTGTGTGTGTGTGTGTGTGTGTGTGTGTTTATGTGTGTTAGGGTATGCCATGAGGCACACGGAGGTCAAAGGAAAACTTTTCAGAGGCAGGCTTCCTCCTTCCAGCTTTGCTCAGGTCACCAGGCTTGCATGGCATGAACCTTCACCCACTGGGCCATTCCTGTCAGGGACTCCCCTTCACCCCTGCGGGTCCTTTAAAGGGCCACTAACCATTTTCTAAAGGTTCCCTTTGAGAACCATTGCACTGGGGATCATGTTTCAACCATTGAATTTGGAGAGAGGACACACAGACCGAAGCATCCATTAAAAGAGCATAAATAAGGAATGAAAAAGCACAATTCACAGAGCAGAAAAGAGAAGAGGAGGAGGAGGAAGAGGTGGGTGGGGGAAGCTTAGGAAAAACACAAGCTGGAAAACCTGATGGAGAAGTCAGGGCAGAGCCTATGAATCACCCTCCCCCCTCCCCCCTCGTGCTAGCTCCTTGGCATCTGGGCAGGCCCTCATGACTAGTTCTTGTCCGTGAGGTGTGGGGGTGTCCTTCCTCTTGCTGCCTTGCTTGTACCTGCAACAGCAGCTGTCTGGACAGTGTGTGGAAGACCATGGTGCCTCAGACTAGAAGGAGCCTGGGTCCTGGATGACCACGTAGAGACTCTCTGCTGACTGGTCCCAACTGAAAGTTACCCTGCTGATTGGAATTACAATCCACTCTGATGTGAACCTGTGTGTGTCTCAACTCAGAAGACAGCCACCCACCAGTGTGTGTGGGAAGGGAGAGAGCTTTGGGCTCTTCCAGGTTCCGGGTCTTCCTCAGCACTCTCGGTGTCCCTTGGTTTGCTCCCTCATCTCATGCCGGCCAGTCAGCCTGGATAGAACAGCCTGCCCTGTTCAGCATCTCTCAGACCTGACTCTCTCTCCAGGTGCATCGTGGCTGCTGCCTTGAGGATCAGGCCCTGGAGAGAGGCCTTCAGTGCCTCTGCAACTCCCGATGACATCTGAACGGATGGCCCTGTCCCCTCTCGCAGCACCGGTGGTGTTTCTATGTGGGGTCCCAACTGCCCTGTGAACTCATTGAGTTCTCAGTGATGCTGTCCTGATGTTCACACTGCCTTCCCAGTGAGGCTGTCCTGACGTTCACACTGCCTTCCCAGTGAGGCTGTCATGGTGTTCACACTGCCTTCCCAGTGATGCTGTCCTGATGTTCACACTGCCTTCCCAGTGATGCTGTCCTGATGTTCACACTGCCTTCCCAGTGATGCTGTCCTGATGTTCACACTGCCTTCCCAGTGATGCTGTCCTGATGTTCACACTGCCTTCCCAGTGATGCTGTCCTGATGTTCACACTGCCTTCCCAGTGATGCTGTCCTGATGTTCACACTGCCTTCCCAGTGATGCTATCCTGATGTTCACACTGCCTTCCCAGTGATGCTGTCCTGATGTTCACACTGCCTTCCCAGTGAGGCTGTCATGGTGTTCACACTGCCTTCCCAGTGATGCTGTCCTGATGTTCACACTGCCTTGTTTTGCAGGCAGCATGGTCCTCGTGCAAACCATGGACTGGGGATTTGCTAAGTATTTGGCAGTAGGAGAGAAGGGAAGGACTAATTAATGAAATCACAAACAATGGCCGGGCGTTGGTGGTGCACACCTTTAATCCCAGCACTCGGGAGGCAGAGGCAGGTGGATCTCTGAGTTCAAGGTCAGCCTGGTCTCCAGAGTGAGTGCCAGGACAGGCTCCAAAGTTACACAGAGAAACCCTGTCTCGAAATACAAACACATCACAATCAATGAGCTGCTGGGCCAGGATCTGAAGTGTCCCCACCACCTGGGTCTCTGTACTGTATCTCTGACACTCCCCACACAGAACCACACCTGAATCGGTTGGTTTGAAAACATGTGTCTGACCTTGCTGCTGGGCTTTCCCTTTCCTTTGCTCCTCCCCAAGTCAGGGACCAGACGGAGGCCAGTCTCCTCCCACAGACTCTGTGATGGGTGGCTAATTGTGTCAGCTTGACACAATTAGAGTCATCTGTGAAGAGGGGACCTCAGCTGAGAAAATGCCTCCACCAGACTGGCCAGTGGGAAGTCTAGAGGACCTCACTGTGGGTGGTGCTCTGGGTTTGCTGTAAGAAAGCAGGCTGAAGAAGCTGTGAGGAGCAAGCCAGCAAACAGCACTCCATGGCTTCTGTCTTGAGGTCCTGCCTCCAAGTTCCTGCCCTGCTTGAGTTCCTGCTCTGACTCCCCACAGTGATGGAGTGTGACCTGGGAGTGTGACTGAATAAACCCTGAGTTCCTACTCTGACTCCCACAGTGATGGAGTGTGACCTGGGAGTGTGAGTGAATAAACCCTGGCTTTCCCAAGTTGTTTTTGGTCATAGTGTTTCATCACAGCAACAGAAACCCTAACTAGGGCATGTCCTCTTGATGAACAAACCTCTTTAACATAAAAGGGGTTACAGGGCCAAGCCCCTGCGCCATGCAGATTAACCCTCAGCACCACTGGGTGCTGTCTCTCACGTGGCTTAGGATCAGTTCTGAGAAAACCCAGACACCACCTGCAAACACATCTAATCTTTTCTCCTCTTTTCTTCCTCTCCTCCATCCCTGGCTGGGCCAGGCAGGCTCCGTCCACTGAGTTTTGAAATCTGCAGAGCCAGGGTGAGTTTCCAGACCACAGCCACCCCTCTGGGCCCAGTAACACTGTCTAAAACTAACCCAGCTTTGTTCCTTTTTTTACCACAGACTACTTTCATGGGGCTGTCTTTGAGAATAGAACTGGATCTGGGCCTTGAACACACACAGAGGAGGAGGAGGAAGGGCACAGTGGGAAACCACCATTGTAAGAGGAGGTATTGTGTGGTAGTGCCCAGGCCAGTCCCTCAGCTGAGACAGGGTGAAGGTGGCAGCTGCTTGGGGAACTGTGGACTTGGCTGACGTGGTACCAGAGAAAGCGACCTTCAGGGATCCAATTTGTCATTGGCAAATACTTTGTTTCAGGATGGCTTCCATTTTCTTGCCAAGGGCATAGAGTATGCAAATTAATGACATCATTACCTCAGCTGAAACATAATTTGGAAAGCTGATCTGCTTTGAAATCCAGGTCCTTTCCTTTCCTTTCTTTTTTGAGGCTTACTCACTAGGTAGTCTTGGCTGGCCTGGAACTCACTCTGTAGACCAGGCTGGCTTTGACTTCATAGAGATCCACCTTCCTCCACCTTCAGAGTGCTGGGATTAAAGGCGCGAGCCACTGTATTGCACAACTAAGAGTTTTCTTGTCCACTGTTTCCCTTCCATTGGAATGAATTTTGGAAAGATCATGGTTATGGTTAGAGCCTGATGATGGTGCCTTAATTCTGTACTTGGAGGGGTTTCCAATTCAGCCCCCTTCTTTTCTGAGCCTGCTTATCAACACACTCAATTTTGTTTGTTTGTTTGTTTGTTTTTTTCCTGAATCAGGGAGTCATACAATCGAAGCTGCCTGAAGCTCAATCTGTAGCCAAAGGTGACCTTGAAGGCCTGATCTTGCCCCCATCTCCCAAGTGCTAGGATTACAGCATGCACCACCTGCCATGCAGTGCAGTCCTGGGGATGGAACTCAGGGCTTCTTGGAATCTAGGCTACTAACTTCAGCCCTCCTCTCCCCACCCGATGTGAATATTTTATCAGTCCCATTGCTACCAAATTTCCTGAGGGACCACGGGAAACTGGTGAGCTGTTCTTGCCATACGCTCCAGGTTCTCATAAATTGGAAGCACTGGACAGTTTGCTGACCAGAATAAACAAACAGAAAGGGTATTAAGGAGGACCAGTAATCACTGATGACCTCAGCAATTTTATTAACAAATTTATTTGCCTAATTGGGGAGCACAGCACAGCCCGGGGCTCCAGGGCATTGTAATAAGTTTCAATGCTGCAGAAGAAGGAATTCATTAGACCTGTTTGCTCTGGTTTCCTATTTAGCAGCATGCACCACTCTTGTAAACATTGCATTGCGTTTTCCCCGGTCTTCCAGGTTCTCTGCTTCCAACTCCCCTACCCACACCCAAAATAAATAAATAGAAATGGAGAATACAGTCGAATGCTATTGGCTCCTGCGTTGGTGCACACCTCCTCAAGTGGAGGCTGCATTTCCAGGTCAGGGTCATCTGGTCACAGTGTGGCAGACTTGCTAATTCCAACACGCCCCCAAAGTCTGTGGGGACAGCTCCCCCCACATGCCGAGGGGTATCAGGGTCTGCCTGGCCTATCCTTGTCCACTCATTCATTCTTATTCTTATTCTTATTCTTATTCTTATTCTTATTCTTATTCTTATTCTTATTCTTATTCTTATTCTGTGACTCTGGGCCTCACGGAACCCAGGTCCTCAAGCATGCAACGAACAGCCCTCCTCCTGAGCTATACCCCACCACACCCCAGCCAGCGCTCTTGTCTGTTTAGAGCCTGAGTACAAGGCAGGTGAGATGGACAAAAGAGTTCACTTACTCCTGTCCCACTCTCCAGAGGAGGTGGGAGGCATTGGCTATGTCTCTGGATCCACACAAGCAGGATATTCCTCAAGGTTCTTCCAGGAGACTTTTTTCTCTCTCTCCCTCATGGCTGTTGAGGACTGCAGCATGATAACAGAAAAGAGCTCTGGAAGGCAGGCCCCCTGCAGCACCGCAGCGCTGGCCTCTGACCCAGGCTACACCCTCCTGTGCACTCGACAATGGCGCCACTTTCACTGTCTGCTCCAAGAGGGCTTCACTGCCGAAGATGCCTGGTGGGGGGGTGGATACCTGCAGAGCAGATTTCTGTAGCAACTGTCAACGTCCCCTGTGCAGAGACGACTTTTGAAGGTAGATATGGTTATTACAGAGACAGCTACAGGGGGATCTAGGCTACTCTAGCTTGCGTCCCTTTGCAAAATCTATAGGCCAGAAAGTTCCCCAAACCTTCAGTCTCCCTCTTGGATGTCCTGCAGAATTCCGATGAGGTTTTCCAGGCCAAAAATATATCCAGGATCTGGTCCCTCGTGGGTGGTGTGCCCGTTCCAGGAACCCTTGTACGTCGTGTGAGCAAAGTCAATCATTCGGACATCGACTTTGGCAGGGTCACCGGAAGTGGTGCCTGGGGTGGTCTCCAGAGCGTTCTGAGGAGGCTCCTGCCCATCATAGATTATGAGGAGGGAGCTGGAGTAGAAGCGGTAAGAACTCTGGCTCCTGATGACCGCGAGCAGTGCCTGCAGCCTGCGAAGTATGGGCTCCAGGAGCTCGGTTCGTAGACGGGTTCCATCATGGAGGAACTGAGAAAGGGCTTGCCTGAACCCTTTCTCGGAGAGCTTTCTTCCATAGTACTTATCTTTGCAGAGAAAGCTCTTCTTATCGGTTTGATAAACCTTACATGGGGAAAGAGAGAGAGAAAATATGAAGCACTGTAAACAGTTTTCTTTTGTTTTGTTTTTAAAGCATGCCTTGGGGACTGGGGATGTGGCTCAGTTAATAGAGTTTGCCTGGCAAGATCAAATCGGCGTCCAAACTGTATAAACTGGGCCTGGTGGTGCAAGCCTGTAAAAGAATATGGAAGATGGAGGCAAGAGAATCAGGAGTTCAAGGTCATCCTCAGCATCATATTGAGCTCAAGGCCAGCCTGCTCTGCATGAGACCTTATCTCAAAACTAACCAAATTAAAACTGCCTGTGATACAGGGCGGTGCCACAGGTTCCCATGGTATGTGAAGTGACTTCCAGGCCAGGTGGGGAAGAGTGGGTGAGATGCACAGGAGATCATCTCCCAGCATGCTCCAGTGTGGCATTTTAAAGCATTCTCTTTGCAGGTCCGGTCTCCACCCAAGGCCCAAAGACCTGTCACCCGCAGAGGTGACCCTCAGCACACCACTCCGAGGTTTGGACCGCCTCTCCTGTGAATTTCCGATGTCAACTTCCAAGTCGTCGTGATTTAAATCTTGGCTTCTGGCCGTCTTCGATTCAGATATTAGCAAGCCAAAGCTGAAAAGCTGCAGCGTGGGCCTGAAATCGGGCCAGCGGACTGGAGAGCCAGTTTGATTAAGTTCTCCCTAACAAAGTTACTGAGTCTTTTTCCTCACGGATTTTGAGCATGCAGGGATGGCTCTTCCAAATAGCCCAGGGGAACCGCTCTTTGGTAAAGAAATGGGCAGGGTCAAGTTTGGATGGGCCCCGCAGGCCGCCAGTACGGTTGCTGGGAACCTGGGAAGTGGAGAGAGGTCCACAGACTGTCTCCCTGGGCAGTGAATGGTTCTTTTCTTCACAGTCTGAATTTCCTGCCCTTGCCACATCTTAGCCATCAGAAAGGAGCAGTCGGAAGAGAGATGCTGATGGGGACACCATGGTGGCCACACCCAGCCCATCAGACAGCTCAGGGGGCAACAGAGACTGAGTGACTCAAAGCCTGCAGCTACCACAGCCTGTGGGACTTGACATACATGGACAGGGCCGCCTGTGCCTGGCTAACTGTTTGAGGCCTGTCTTGCCTTCATGTTACATAATGTGTTTGTTTGCTTGTTTGTTTGTTTTTAATCAGAAAGCTATGATAGGTTGGGGGGCGGAGATCAGCTTCTAAATCAGCCTTCGTAAACACACGACAGGCATCACTCTGTAGATAAATCAGGTCACTTGCAGAAGGTTGGAGGTCCGCAGAGAGACTCTATTTACTCCACAAATCATCCCACTCTGTTCTCTGAGGACTGCCTTCCCAGGGACATCTGTGCAATGAATTTATGAACTCAACTTTCAGCTTCAAGGGGTGGCAGCTTCAATTAAGGAAAGCTATAACGTTTGCCATCAAAGCAGAGCCCGGTTTTGTATTGAGTAGACAGGCTGTCCGCCGTGGATTCCTGCCTGGCTCCCCGCAGCCCTGCCACACCTCCTAAGTACAGAGGGGTGGGACCCAGGCAGGAAGGGAACAAGCCACCCCCTGGGCCTGGGTTCAGTGGCTTCTGACCTCCCTACTTGGTTAACCCAACCAAGAAGCAGAAAGAAGCAGAAGGGCCAAATGTTGAGGAGAGAAAAGCTAATGAGAGTTCAAAAGAAGGGGCTGCAACCCCCCACCTGAAGGGGACAGGGCTCAGCTCTGTCACTCATGTGGGATCAGTAAGCCACTAGGGATATTTATTTTCTCAGCTGTTCTCCAACCCTTGACCCAACGTTGTCACTGAAAGTCCCTCCCAATTGCACAAAGTTTTAGCTGCCCCCAAATGGTGAGGCTGGGTTTGGGATTGTCCTCAATGGTACTCTAAAAAACCATTGTGTGGGTTGGGAATGCAAGGCTGTGGTAGAGTGCTTGACTCCTCTGGCAAGGCTCTAGGCTCCATCCCAGCACTACAACACAAAACAAAAATAACTTAAGGCCTGTAATCTTCACACACCATAGGCAGAGGCAGGAGGATCAGAGGTTCAAGGTCAGCCTTGGCTACATAAGGAGTATGAAGTCAAGCTGGGCTTTCTGAGATCCTGTCTTAAAACAAAACACCAACAACCATCACCCGGCATTTCGGTCCAGAAGGCCTCCTTGCTTGGAAAGTACCCTACGGCCTTCTCTGTTGCTCCCTTAAGGTAATGGGCTCTGCAGGGAGGGAGAGGCGCGGGTAGAGGCCTGCCAGGATGCCAGTCTCTCACCCTTGCAGCCAGCCTTGCACCCACCTACCTGCATGCCACAGATGCGCACGCCCAGGCAGGCGGAAGTGCTCTGCGCACATTTCCTCATGTGGCGGACCTTCTTCTCCTCGGACGCGTCGTCCCCATGCTGCCGGGTGCCCATCTTCAGATCCAAGATGCAGGGTTGCTTGTATTGGGACACCACGTTTTCCAAGAGCAAGAACCCTGCATGCACTAAGTCAAGGAAAGCTCTGGGGTCATCAGTCGGAGTACCTGAGGCTCCCCTCACCCCTCCTTCCTGTTCTAGCCTTACCTGTGGGCCTGGCTACTAAGAATGCAAGACACTCACTGGCAGTCTGCTTTAATAAGTCCATTTATTTAGGGGGAGTTTATGAGACCCTTTTCCCATTTTGCTCTGAGGTTGAAATTTAAATTCAGGCATGAAATTCCTGGCAGGCCATGCCCAATTTACATTTTATGGCAGAAAATCATAGGGCTGAGACCTCCAGTTTGCTGAACGGGCCAGCACCTTCTGGGACAAGGGGGTTGATGTTCGCCTCAGAGATAAGTTGCAGGAATATTAATTTCAGCAGAGTAATTATCCTTCAAAAGCTTCTTAGGGGCTAGGGCGGCAGATGTGTCATAGCAAATACTGGAAGAGCAGCAAGTACTGGTGGGGCGGGCGGGGGACCCCCTAAACTACATGGCAGTGTGGGGGGACCCCTAAACTACATGGCAGTGTGGGGGGACCCCTAAACTACATGGAAGTGTGTGGGGGACCCCTAAACTACATGGCAGTGTGGGGGGACCCCTAAACTACATGGCAGTGTGGGGGGACCCCTAAACTACATGGCAGTGTGGTGGGGAGGGACCCCCTAAACTACATGGCAGTGTGGGGGGACCCCTAAACTACATGGCAGTGTGGTGGGGAGGGACCCCCTAAACTACATGGCAGTGTGGTGGGACCCCTAAACTACATGGCAGTGTGGGGGGAGGGACCCCCTAAACTACATGGCAGTGTGGGGAGGGCAGGAAAAGCCTGCTGCTCTTGGGCTGCAGGTAGAAAGTGAAGTGCAGAAGAGAGGCTGGAATGGGGTTGGGACGCAGAGATGCAGAGATGTCTTCCTGTCCCTGCCTGCCTGGCGTCTTGCTCTCCGCGGCTCCCCAGCAGCCCTCCCCATCTCTCCTATACTGCTGAAGTGCCAGGGCCCAGCTTAGCCACTAGCTGAGTGCCCACTCTCTGAGTCCTCTTTTGAAGGGATCTGATTTCTTCTAGACCCTGGGCTTGTGGGTTCATACCCTCAAATTATCCGACATCTGTTTCCCCTCCCCACCCCACCTATCTCCTTGTGTGTGTTTGTGTGTGTGTGTTATGTGAGTGTGTATATGTGTGTGTGTGTATGTGTGTATTATATGAGTGTGTATTAGGTGAGTGTGTATATATGTGTGTGTGTGTGTGTGTGTGTATGTGATGTATGCATGCATGTGTATATGTGTATTGTGTGTGTATGTGTGTGTGAGTGTATGTGTATGTATGTATGCATGTGTGTATGTATGCATGTGTGTGTCTGTATTGTGTGTGTATGTATGTATGTCAGTGTGTGTATGTGTGTGTATGTATGCATGTGTGTATGTGTATGTGTATTATGTGTGCATGTGTGTATTATATGAGTGTGTATTATGTGAGTGTGTATATATGTGTGTGCATGTGTGTGTGCATTATGTGAGTGTGTGTGTGTGTGTGTGTGTGTGTGTGTGTGTGTGCTGTCTTTCCATCTGTTTCTGCCTCTCTGTTCTCCTCTGCTCACACCTGCCCCAGGGACTGTGTGTAGACGCAAGCGTGGTAAGGATACGGTGCCGTTTGTCCTCTGGGTACTCAGAGCACAGGCGGGTCAGGTGGGCTTGGTGACAGTGCAGGCCCCATGGGTTAAAGTCCCTTCTCTCCACCTGGCTCCCATCCGCACTTTCCGCCAGGGGGGGCGCCTGGGCACTGAGGTGGCAGTCGGAGCTCAGAAGCACCTTGGTTGTGCTGTGGTGAGAGAAGCAGTAGCTGGAGATGCCTGTGGCTCTCTGGCATGGCCTCTTGCAAAGGCCACCCAGATTGCTGCATAGGACTCTCTCACCAAGTTGCCAGAGACACCACAGGGTCCCGAGTGCCTCCTTGTCCAAACTGGGTACCCAACAGCGGATCACACCAGGCCCAGGTCCTCTTGGGGGCTTTGCTTAGGTGTGTCACCCTCAGAGAGCTAGAGCCAGTTAGGCCCACTCTTGGGATCAAGGTGATAAAGGAATGGGTGGTAACCCCATCTCAAGGCTGGGGGTCTGGATTAGTGTCCTCGACCCTCACAATGCTACAGAGTGTGCCCCCTCTGCACTTTGCTCCCACCCCCTGCTGTGATGAGACAGTCCTGCCTCTGAGCCAAGAGCTTAATTAGATCTATGGCTCCTGGGGAAGAGCGCATTGCCACTGTATCAGCTTCTCTTTTGTTTCCCACAAATGTTTTAAAGCCCCAGGGACCCTGGGAAAGGTCAGCTGACATTATCAGAGGCTCCCAAGATCTCTCTAAGGTCCTTAGGCCCCTGGGGGCCTCTTTTGTCTCCTGGGACTCACTCTCCTTGTCTCTTCCCCACGGTTGGCTAAAAGCTGACTTTCAAGAGAAATTAGGCACACTTCCTCTCCATAAACTATTTCAAGGTTTCCGGCTACACACTTTCCCCCAGAGACCTGAGCGGTCTCAGTGAAGCAGGTATTTAATTAAACAAGCTATGGACACAGGCCCTGCCTGTGTGTCAGCCCGTGAGCCATTCTCCCACCCCCAAGAAAGGACAGAAGAGACCACCCTCTCCCCCCATTTCTTTGCAACATTGGTTGTTCTTGACCAAGCCTTCTTTCCAGTTTTTCAGTGTGGTGCCTGATGTCACCTGCTCAGTGGTCCTCACCTTTCCTTGAGTGAGCATGCCAGCTGGGCCAGGGGACGGGGGCTGCTATTACTGCTGGCACTCTGCTGAAGTGTCTGCCAGATGGCCACCGCTCTGGAATCTGGGGATACCTGGAGAGGCTCCAAGTTCTCCTTCAGTGGGTTGGCAACCAGGCCAAGATGGCCTCTGCTGTCTCTCCGGAGGCACACTGTGACAGTACCTGCAGGACACGGGGACCAGGGGAGAGCATACGGGTCACGTGTCATGGGTCATAGCTGGTGAGATGAGTGGCCCTAGACAGCCTCCTTCTCTCCCTAGCTCCTCACTCAAGGAGGAGTCAAGACTAGGGTGGCTCTGCCTAAACCTGACCCTGGTCCTGTGTATGCCCCCAGCCCCGCTGGAGCTTGCAGACCTTGGTGACCTAGGATGTACTCTTCTTTATCTTACTTCTCACACTTTGCTACATTGTTGTAGAGTTGGATTCCTGCCTACACATTGTTCACACCTATCCAGTCATACCAGGGCCAACCCATCCATGGCCAACCTGGGATACTTCAGAGGTGGTCCTCCATGACGGAACCTCCCTGCCTCCCCACCTCCCCGCCTCCAGGGGACGCCAATTAACGGAAGCCCGGTCCATCTCCTTCCCATTCCTCTTTGCCTCTCACTCATCTTTTTCCCCTTATTTTCTTGAAGAAGCCAACCAGCTTCTTCCAGGAAGCCTTCCACAGGCAGCTGCTAGTCTTTTCCGGTGCCTTTCCCATGGGTGCCCAGCCCTCATCTCCGACTGTATACATCAGCGTGTGGAGATTTGGGGTACCTGTGGTTCCTAGAGAAAACTCTAGAGTCTTCAAGGTTCTCCCAACATGTGGCATTTTTTGCCACCACAGCTGGCAATCACGGCAGGAAAATCACTGGCTGTGTAGGCAAGGACCGCCCCAAAGCATAAATACCAAATGACCCGTTGGTGAGACCGGAAGCTATCTGTGCTGGGCTTTGACATTGCACGGTCACCTTGTAGAGTCCTTGTGATAATGGAGGAGCCTGGCCTCCCTCTGTGGGGCTTGGCATCCAGTGCCTTGCCCCGTGGTATCTGGCCTCACCCCGGTACCACGCCAGGGCTTAGCCTCCCGTTCTTTGTGAACGGCCATCAGGCGGTCCTGTCCTTCACTGTCCTCACCCACGTCTCAGCTTCTCCGCCTCTTGGTGCTGAGGAGCTGACCGTGGGCAGTGCCCTGATGGCCTTCTGCACTCTGCTTCCCAGCGGGGCCCTGGCAGGGGTGGAAGGGTAAGGGATGGAAGGTATGAGGGCACATACCTTCCCTCTGTGCCCCACCCTATGTATCTGTGGGTGGGTCAGGCGCCTCTGTGCTCCAATAGGGCCCCTTCTCTCTCCCTCCACCTGCATGCCTGAAGAGGCTAGTGCTAGTTTTCATTGTACCTCAAGCCTGCATGGATTTCTGCAAATAGTCCCTTGCAAAAACTCTCTCCAACACGGTTTGTTTCCTAGAGGCTGAGATGGAGAGGAGATAGGGTGTGTGTTTCTATGTGTTCTACATCCATTTTCTCCCAGGCCCCTTGGTTGCCTCCCTGGTATGAGTAACTCTTCAGCTGAGGGGGCAAGGGAGGCTGCTGGTCTTCTGCCTGTGCCCTCGCCCAGCCCCGGGACCCCATTCCCATTCAGCCTGTGGCTCTCCAGAGCCATCTATACTGGTCCAGTGGACTCCCTGGGCCTGGCCCATCATCTCAGATTCCTAGCGGCCTAATTCTGCTGCCTCGGAGGGACAGTCAGTTCTTGCAAACACTGCTTCTCCTCCACCTCTCCCAGGCTCCTATATCCTTAGGACGCCTCAGGAGCACTAGTGATGCCATTGATGTTTGCGTTTATCTGACATGGGTGCTCATCCTGAATCACACCTGTCATGCTCATCTGTCCTGTGCCTGAGAGTGGCCGGCTGGGGACATTTCCTCATCTCTTACTATATGTGGCTCAGGACTGGCACCGTTCACTTTTCACTTGTGATTTCTAAATTACGGCACATCCATAAGGCTGTTGGTGGTTCAGGAAGCCAAGGTTCTGAGCCAAGGTCATACAGCCAGCATGGGGTGGAGCCACCTACCAGGTGGATGCTGAAGAAGTAACATAACGCATTGCCCAGGACACCATGGAGCCATAGAGATACTCAGGCTGCGTTTACCTACGAAAGCATGAGGGACACTCCTTCTGTGTTCCCAGAAACACTGGCTCTGGCCAGTCTGTTCTGTGGGACCGGCAGGGGAGCACCCTCACCACAGAGGGCTGGGGCATGAGCTTTGCATTTCCAGCCCCAGGTCTTTGGCAGGAGGTTGCTGTGTTTGTTCTATGGAAGAAAACCTTCCAAATCTCAACATGAAGCCTCTATGACTAACAGAAAACGCTAGCTGCCTGTGCCTGTCCTGGAGGGAGTCTGTGCCCTTCTAGCTGCTTAGTGGGTCCAGGAAACCCTGCTAGCCAAGGGCAATGTCCTCTGGGGTCTCTTAAAGTTCATGCTCCCATCTGGCAGCCCCTGGCCTTTTCTACTTGAGGGCCTGTGGTGACATGCCTGCCAGAAAACACAGTTCTTGGCAGCTTGTGCCCAAGAGGCCTCCCTGGAGAGACAAGAAATGTGACCTTCCCCACGTCATTCTTGTCTGATCTGAGTGCCTGCATCAATGCCAGTGAGTGGAGGTGCAAATAACCCCAACTAATAAAACCCCAAAGCCATTCCCATTCCTCATGTTGTCAGGACCTTGCCACTGGCACAGTGTCCCTGCCGCTCAGTCTTTGCCTCCGATGGGCTGCTATCCACTGTCTCCTGGCCCCTGCACCCTCCCTCTCTCTTCTCTCGCCATCACGGCACTTTCCTGGAGCTGACCCCTTATGAACTGTGCAGGGGTGGTGGTGGGGGCCTGCCTGCCCTTGACCCAGGGGAACCCAGACTCTGGTGCCTGGGATATGCTCTACAGTTAGGAGCCACTGTGTCTATGGGGATTAGACCCCAGGAGGCCTGAGATCTGCAGCTGAGGCCCTACTGGGAGCCTCGGGGCCTGCCACAGCTCTTCCCATGCACCTCAGCCTGAGAGTCTGTCAGCTGGGCAGACAGGGTGCTTACAGCCATGACTGGCACGCCCACAGCATCTCAGCAATTTGGTTTGACCAAGCCGCTTCCCGAGCCTTGGCAGACATTGTGTTTATTTTTAAGTTTATGAGGACATTCACCGCCACCATCTGTAATACGAATCTGGCCAAACCCTCCACCAACTGAGCCCAAGCGCCTGTCCTCATACACCCAAGGCCCACAGGCCGACGGAGAGGCAAGGGACACAGCCCCAAGATGGCAATGCTGTGAACCCAGCTACGATCTACAGCGAGCTGCTGGTACACGGCAGTGCCTTTTAGAGTACCACACTAGCCAAAATTCTCCCTGATGCCATTGTGGGGGGCATAGGATGGGCTCCACAGCGTGTGGGAGCCACTTCACAAATGGCCCCTCCTCTCTGAGGAAGCTATTCCTATGTAGGAGCAGAAGGTTGTCTGTCCTTTACTGACATGATGATCTGAGAGAGACTGTCTCCTCCTTCCTGGGGATAGATGGCTGCTAATATCGATACTCAGCTACTCAGGTAGCTGAGAGGAGTGGGTAATGGGGCCAAGATCCCACTGTCTGGAGCTAGACATCAGGGCTTCAAATCCTGGCCCAGCCTCTCATGGCCTCGGGCAAGCCCGCTCTCCTCCTCTGTGTCTCTGAAGTTATGAAGGTATCTGCTTCTGAGAGTTATGAGGTTTATGTAAATAGGGGTGTGGAACCCTCTTGCAACAGCCCAGAGCAAGCATGACGGACTAGCTGCTACCACTTCTGCTATTGGTTAAAACCAGTCACCTCCATTACTGGTCACAGCTCTACTGCAGGTACCCAAGAATGGACTGAGTGTCCTCCTGGGTTCTGGGCCTTCTCTAGGGGCTCCTCACATTGCCAGAGAGTGAGTCAGTATTTCTGCTTAAGCAAAGCCTGGCATTGGATTGCCACCCAAACTTTCTCTGAGGCCAGCTGGTAATCATCCATTATCCCAGGAGGTCCTCTCTTCTAGCTAACCCCCACTGTGTTTAGAAACATTATCTGTAAGACACCCCAAAGGTTGCTGGGAGGTGGTGGCGCACGCCTTTAATCCCAGCACTCAGGAGGCAGAGGCAGGTGGATCTCTGTGAGTCTGAGGCCAGCCTGGTCTACAGATTAAGTGCTAGGGGAGACTCTAAAAAAAAAACCGTATCAAAAAAAAAAAAAAAAAAAAAAAAAAAAAAAAAAAAAAGACACCCAAAGGCAAGGCTGACCTAGACCCTGCTGCGTGGATCATTATTTAGTCCAACCTTTGGCTCAAGGTACAGGCAGCCCTCAGCACAGGGTAGCCTGACCTACAAGTTTCTGACTTCATGATGGTGTGAGTGAAATGTATCCAGGAGAAAACATCCTTTGATTGTTCCGTTTTGATATTTTCCTGGACTAGTGATACAAGACACAGGCCTCTCAGGATGCAGGGCAGAGGCTGTGGCTCTCAGTTGATTCTGGGACACCACATGCTAAGCTAGGGTGTGAGGTAGGTTCTACCTACTAAATGCATTCTTATTTATGATATTTTTAACTTACAATGGTTATTTGGGGTTGTAACCCTTTTCTAAGCAGGAAGCATCTTGTAATTGGAGTTAGAACCCCCAAATAGTAGAACCTCAAAGAGGCATTCCCAGAAAGCAGAGGTCTGGATAGGTGTCCTGAGAGTGCCCTGTCATCCCCACAGGAGCACAGGCCTATGTAGACAGGACAAAGAGTCATGGTGAGGTGGGGGTCTCCCAAAGACCTGAACAGCCTGCCCTTTGCCTGTGGCAGTCACTCATGGTCTTTCTCAGCTCCAGGGCTGTGTTGAGCAAGTGTGAAATGCCACTGGCAGGAGTCCACCTCATGCCAGAACCTGCTACCCTTTGCTATGTTGAGCTCAGTTACCGATAGACAGACATTAATTCCAGTGGGTTCTCTGACAAAATAAGCAGTGACCTGAAGCCACCGAGGCAGCATTGACCCGTGGCCTTGGGAGACTGGAGAAGGCCAGGGCAGGCAAGAGTGGGGGCCCCACCAGTAGCCCACTGTCCTCCTCTGTCTCCCAGGATGAGGGGGTGAGCCATCTCACCACAGAGACCCAATGTGAGCCGAGGCTCAGCAGGCACATCCGGGCCTGTGGTCTGGTCTCACCTAGCAGACCTTCCCATTTGGGTCCCTGATTGATGGGTTAGGATGCCTGGTCCTAACTGGGTGAGGACTGGGTTCTGCTTGGCTCCTGGGATGGAACCCAGGAGCGCTGATGAAGCCGGTGCTTGGAACACCAGCAGAGATTCATCTGCCTTCCCAGTTGTCCCGAGCACTGGAATGCAATGGGTTTCTTTATTTTCTGAGCCTTGAACTTGTTGCATAGCCAAGGTGACCTTGAACTTCTGGTCCTCCCGAGAAAAAGTACTACAGGCATGTGCCACCATGCTCCAGTTGGTACACTGGTGGGGATGGAGACCAGGCCTTCATGCATATAGGCAAGCCCTTTTCAGAAGACTGAGGAACGTCCCTAGCCCCCTCAGTAGGTTTCTGGTGGGCTTGTTTGAGTATCATAATTGCTGTCCTTGAAGACACTTTAGAAACAGAGCAGCAGTCCTTGGTGATGAAAAACTAATATTGTTTAGAGGGACATACCCTGTGGTAGGGGGTCACCTGGCAGCCAACTCTACAGGACCTCATTTACCAACCCTGAGTACTCCTACCCTTGGATTTAGGTAGGGGTATCAGACAAGAAAGCCAACAGGCATGACTCTTCTACCGAGCTCTTTCTTCCCACAGCCACCTGTGCGTGGCTCCAGGACACACTGCCAACGCCACAGTTTTCCCAGATGCACACACCAGAAGGCAGCCTGGCCTTTGCCCTGCCTGTATGGAGTGGGGATTCTGGACTCCAAACCAAGTCATGTCCCAGATTCCCCACGTCCTGTCTGGCCTGGGTCTCCAGAGGGAGACTGAGGAGACCTCACTTGTCTTATGTTTAGCCACAGCCACACCCACAAAGCTCCCAAAGAGCAGGGTAGAATACTCCATCAGGACCCAGGCGGACTGGGCATCCCTCGATGCCATTCCCAGTTCAGTGAAGGTGAGCGGCCTGACCTATCTCCAAAGCCATTAACACCCCTGATGTGGAGGCCTGGGGGAAATCAGAGACATACTAGCACGGGGACCCTGGCTGCTGGGAAGAGGGCTGTCACCATACAGCCCTTCCACCCCCTGACGGTGGCAGCAGCTGAGTGCACCTGAGCCTGGGCTCCACCACTCACCTTTGTACTGAGGGGTGAAGCATCTCATGGCCATTGGCAGGGACTCATAGAACTTCTGTTCTTGGGAGATGAGGGGCTTGCACACGGTGTGGGCATCGTACTGCAGCATACTCATGTGGCCACCCACCTGGTGCAGGAAGGGCTCCAGGGGCACACCTACCCCGTTGTTCCCCTTGTCGGTGCTGTGTAGCACCACCATGGCACCGCCAAGCCCTCCCGAGGAAGGCAAGACACAGAAGCTGCTGTTCCCACCAGGTGGGCTGTCCGTGGTCCCTGACCGCTGTCTGTTGCAGCCTTTACCACTGTCCCAGCTCAGGTGACTCCTGACCGCCCACTTATCTGGCAAAAAAAAAAAAAATGTAAAAAAGAAAATATAAATTATATGAAGAAGGGGTGTGCTGGGTGTGTCACCCATGGCCCCTAAAACAAGATGGCACATAGGCGCGTATCGCTTCTGAGATACTCTGTCACGAGAAAGTGGACATGGTCTGATGCCCTGAATCAAGACTGAGAGGGAGACCTTAAATAACCACCTTGCACCTTTTGAATTTAAATACTAAAACTATCAAGCAGCCCACACAAATACGAGTTTCCAGGCTCAGGGTCTAGCCCTGACTTCTGTCAAGTTGCATTTATTCTGGAAACATCCACCTCTGCCCAGGGAGAAGCAAGTAGAGCTGCTGGGTACCCAGTCCTGACGGGGTTGCTTTATTTCTATAGAGCAGAGCTAGGCTCTAGTGACTTGTGTTATTTTTTATGATTAACACATATGACGGCTGTGTGACCTTGGGCAGGTCACTGAAGCCTTCTGGGCCTCAGTTTCTCTGTGCAGTAGAAGAGGATGTAGAGTCGGGCACAGAATTAAGACAAGGACACAGAAGTTTCCCTGAGCCCAGCGCCACCATTTCCTTTGAGCTCGCTCCCTAAGGTGGGCTTGCCTCACCTGGACTCTGCAAAACCAGTCTCTAAAGTCATCCTGACTTTGTCTCGGAAGAGTGCCAAGGAGACAGGAAGGGGTGGCTCTTCTGTGGAGTGTTTGTCCTATCTGAGAGGACAGTCCCACAGCAGGGCTCTCACAAGTTATTAATATCTCTCCCTCTGCTGGACTCCTGGCCGCCATGCCACTGGGTAGTACTGGGCATCATTAACCCTCTAATTGACCTTCACTCCCTGGGCCCTGGGCACGGCTGGCTGGCTCCACACACGGCAGGGCCTATCACTTTGTTCGGGACCTAAGCTTAGGGACACTTGCCAACTTCCGGGCCTGCCAGCATGCCACGATATGGAAAGTCCAAGGCTGTCCTATTCTTATCCCCGCACAGGCTCCCCTTACCTGCCCATGTCCTCCAGGCCACAGTGTGCATCTGTTGGCGGGGGAAGGGACATAAGGCTCTGCCCAGCAACTGAGGATGCCGAGGTGGCCGATGAGGCATTGGGGGAGGGAAGGGCAAAGTCCTGAAGCAAGAGGCTGGGCCAGGAACCACAGAAGGCCCTTCCTGAATCTATCCTGAGGTGAAGAGAGACCACTGATGTGTGTGTATGTGTGAGTGTGTGTGTGGGGGTTGTGGGGCAGCTTTCAGGATCCTAGAGAAGGTGGGGGCATGTGTGGACAGATAAGGGGGCCCACAGAACACCTGGGCCAAGGTAGTACAGCCCCCCAAACTTCCATGTTAGCCTGTGGTGAGTCACCTGTCCCCAGACAGTGGCACTGGTGCTAACAAGAGGTACAGCTGTAAAGTTCATTCATAGCCACTGCTGGAAGGAGGCTGAGCGCCTGTCTCACACTTGTCTCCCTGCGGCCAGCCCACACTTGCCAGGCATGACACTCAGATGCCAGTTCAAGGCTGCCAACACACACTGCCTGGTTCCACGTTGCTTCTCATACACCACACACGTTACCTGCCCTTGCTGTACATCATGGAACATTCTGGATATTTTAGATGGACTGTTTAACTCCACAGCTAACCTACGAGGTAACTGGTGCTACCGGTTCACTTTCAATCAAGGAAACTGAGGCAGAGAGCGGTCAAGAGGCTTTCCTGTGTGAACCAGCTGCTATGAGAGGACCCGGGATTTTAACTGTGGTCTGTTAGCCTAGCCTGTGCTCACCAGCCCCCAGCCTGAATTGTCATCAGAGGTCCTTCATCAGTTTTAAAAGTGGGGAAATTGAGCCCAAAGAGGCTGGCACTTGGCCAGAATCACTTGTAAGACACAGGTGACTCAAACCTAGACAGTCCCTGTACTTCACTGGGTGAATGTCCTTGGGGGTTGTCGGACCACTCCTCCACCTTTGTAGGGGTGTGTGTCTGTCAATAGAGACTTTCCAGCCTCAGCCTGCTGTACCTTCCCTGTCCTCCCAGAGGAGAGATGCTCGGGTCTGACTACACCTTCTCTGGGAGTAGAGAGGTCCCTGCTCTCTGGGGCAGAGTCTGGGGTTGAGGGCAGTGATGCAGTCTGTTGGATAGCCAGCCTGTCTTTGAGAACACTGGACTTAATAGCCAGGTAAAGTGGGGGACTTTCTCTTGCAGGCCGTAGGATTGGTCAGGTAACCTCTCAAGGCATTTCTGTTCCTGGGCTGTGCAGTCTGCGGCTCTGAGGCAGTTGGGGAGAATGGCCGGAGAACGGGGTTAGCTGCAGAGGGGGTTCTGCCTCTCAGAGGTGGGACCTTGGATTCCTCTGAAGTCTGCAGCTTTTTCCGTTTGCTCCCTTTGTATGTGGCCTGCAACCCTATGGGTCTGAGGCAGATCCTCCCTCTCCTGAAGGCCCAGATCATTAGCTCTGGCTGCCTAGGCCTTACTTCTAGGCTCACAGGCCCTCTTCTTCCTGTGAGTCAGAAGCCTAGGGTCTGTCATAAACACTACCACCCACACACACTCCAGCTCGCTGAGGCTGAGCTGGTAATAAACAGGAGTTTGTTGTACTGCGCACTGCCATGGCCTTGTCAACGAGGCTCAGAGAACAGATTCCTCAGTGGAGTCTCCTCGTGGGTATCGGCACACTAGTGGCTGTCCAGATGACTGAGTCACCTGGGATGCTAGGAAGGCAAGTCAGGTGGTGCCTGAGGGGACACCCCGCTTCTGACACACCCTCAGGAGACCCATAGCTGCTTTAAAAGACAGTGTTTCTCTAGCCCACACCTCTTCCTGAAGCCCCACAGCTCTCATTCCTCACCCTCTTCTCCCAAGCTCTTGGTAGGATCAAAAGGCAATAATACAAGAGCAGGTAGGAGTTGTGGAGACACTCCCAGCAAGAAGGGGCTCAGCAAAGAGCTGCCCGTTGCCCCATAAGGCAGAAGGTGGCCCCAGCCCTGCTCCCTCCTGCCCTCTGGCCGGGTCATGTCCTGAATGAAGCAGCACTGGGCCTCACTCCAGCGGCCTCAGGGCTAACTTGGGCCTCTGGGGTGCGGCCTGCCGTGGGGCCGGTAGTGAGTGAGCCATGCGCTGGCCATATCAGGACAAGCCTGGGGAAGCTCAACGGCAGCCAGCCTGCCTCTGCTGGGCTGGGGGACACTCCTAGTTCTGGAAAGAGGGTTAGGACAACAGAGCTCTGTCAGCAGTGAGCATCCTAGGACTCTCTAAGACCCTCCCCACTAGGACAGCCCAGCATCATCTGGGTAGGGCCTGGGGAGCCTGGCCATTTCCCAAGCACGCATAAGCACTATAATTACCGATGCACGAATTCATTTCAAGGCGTTTATCGGATTCCTAGAGGTTTTTGCCATCATTTGTTTCCTCTATCAACAGACACTAACAGTCTAACGAGTGCTGCATGGTTACTAGCAGGGGGGAAATTATGCTGAAAAATGAGTCCTCTGGGCCGGAGGTGGGGGGTATAGCTCAGTAATGACAGAGCGAGAACGTTATATTCACAAGGACCTGGGTTCGAGTCCCAGCACCACAAGTAGACATTGCATTCTTTCATATGGAAACCTAAAACAAGAAGGCTGATCTGAAAGTATGAGAACCATGTTGGGACTGGGAACTGGGTGGGCGTGAGTTAGGTCCTCGGCACGTACACATTGAAACACCACAGTGGATCCTATTTTCTTGTATAGTTAATGTGAACTGCTAACAATGGGAGTCCTTATGGAAGGGCCACGGGGGGGTTCCGAACTGGGCTGAGAGACGTGTAAGTTGGGGTGCCCAAGAAGTGACCAGGAGCAGGGAAGAGGTTTGGCTCAGCCTTAGGGAGCTTGAAGAGGACCTGCTCAGGGAATACAAGTAAAAGGAGGCAGAGACAGGGCCTGGCTTATGGCTTTCCTGAGTGCTCCACGGAAGGGGCTGAAGAAGGGAGTCCAGCCTTGCCTGCTGGGGTGTGGGGGGGCTGTAATCCCAGCCCCAGGGAAGCAGAGATAGGGGGTTCCTGGGGTGTTCTGGCCAGACTAGCCAAACCAGAGAGCTGCAGGCTCAGTGCAAGATCTCATCTCAAGAAAAAAAACATAGGGTGGCTGTCAGGCATGGTGACCTTTAATCCCAGCACTTGGGAGGCAGAGGCAGGTGGATCTCTGTGAGTTCAATGCCAGCCTGGTCTACAGAGCGAGTGCCAGGACAGCCAGGGCAATAGACAGACGCTGTCTCAAAATGAAGAATCAGGGGCTGTAAAGACGGCTCAGTGGTTAAGAGCACTTGCTGCTCTTGAGGAGGACCTGGGTTCCTAGCACCTACATGGCGGCCACCACCATCTGTAACTCTAGTTCTGGGGACCCGGTAACCCTAACTGAACTGGCACACACGTGATGCACACACATAGGAGGCAAAGCCTTTGTACTCACAATTTAAAAAAATAAAGTGGAGAGGTGATTAAGACACCTGACATCAGGCCCTGGCTTCCATGTGTGCACATGCACACATATACATACACATACACACACACACACACACACACACACACACACACACACACACACACCCCTCATGGCCTCAGTTCAGCCTGGGAAGGGGACAGTCACACTCAGATTACAGAGGTACTGAATCCTTCATAGAGAAATCTGAAAAATCTCAGGTGTGGGGGAAGGGCCTTCTGTGTGTGAAGGACATTATTAAGAAAGAGACTGCAGTTGGGCCCAGCAGGCCACACAATTCAAAAGCCGAGTGGTTTATGGTCTGTTCTCTGTCTCCAAAGCTCTAACATACATTTCACAGGCTTCTCCGAGCCAGCGTTTCGGGACAAGTACCATTCAATGCCCTTGCGATGCCTGCGGGAACATCTTTTTAATCTATTAGAGAGGAGAGGACCCGAAACCCATTTAAAACCGCTTAGGTGGTAATGGGCAGGGGAGTTTCAGAGTTCCCCGCGAGGCTGAGGGCCGTGCATTATCTGGTCCCATCCAGACCAGGAAGGCCAAGGCTTATGTTTCCAGAAGGGAAATTAATGGCGTTTGCAAATCTATTCTAAAACAACTCAGGTGCCCTAGGCCTGTGCGCTCGCTCGCCCTGCCTGGCTCCCTGGCTGGGTGGGATCAATAGAGTGAGCTCTGGAGGCTGCATACATCACCTTCCAGGCTGCGGCTGAAATGTATCTTTAGAGAGCATCTACTTCCCAGGAAGGCAGGATTTCCAGGCTCTGGGGCCACACTCCATTTCCCTCAGCCCCGGAAACCTGTTTCCACACCAGTTTTATCCTTTGAGAGGGGTTTCCCCCTGCTTTTCCTCTTAACATTTAAAATCTCCCAACATTCCTCCAGCTTGAGGACCAAATACAATTTTAATGCCATGATTATTAGTTCAGAAGCCCTTCAGCCACTGACAAATGTACTCAGTGGATCCTGCAATGTTCTGAGCTTGCCGCTGAGGCAGGAGAAACATGGGGAAGGCTGACTGCAGGAGCCAGGCACCCTGTCCCTGACCAGCTCCCCTCCCAGCAGGCTTCAGGCCTCAGTGCATTTAAGTTGCCCCAGGACCTTGGGCGCGGTTAACTAAGACCCCAGGCATGTCTTCAGGCCCCTTTCCCTTCCCAAGGCCTGGTGCCTTTCTCTACATAACAGGATTGGTTTCTGGGCTTGGGCAAGAGGTCTGTGTGCTGGACACATGGGTTTGCCCATGGCTAGCGTGGCCTTGTATGGTGGTGACAGGCACAGATTGCATTCTTCTGGTGTTTATTTGGGTTGGCTTTTGTCTTTGAGGCAGGGTGTCTGGCCCAGGCCAGCTTCGAGTTCATTCCCCGCCCCCCAGCTTCATTTCATTTTCATGCTTCTGAGTCAATGTTCGATGCCCTTGCGATGCCTGAGGGAGCATCTTTTTAATCCATTAGAGAGGAGAGGACCCCAAACCCACTTAAAACCCCTTAGGTGGTAATGGGCAGGGGAGTTTCAGAGTGCTGGGATTGCAGGGGTGTGAGACTATGCCTAATTTATGCCGTGCTAGGGACTGGCCCCAGGCTTTGTGAATACCAGACAAGCACACTGTCAATCAAGCTACATTTCCCAGTCTCTGGCAACAGTTGTAAAGGTCAGAGCACAAGAATTAGGCAGAGTGTGTGTGCATGTATGCATGTGTGCGTGTGAAAGTGTGTGTGTGAGAGAGAGAGAATAAGTGTGTGTATGTGTGTGTATGTGTAAGTGTGTGCATGTGTGTGTATGAGAGAGAGTGAATGAGTGTGTGTGCATGTGTGTATGAGAGTGAATGAGTGTGTGTATGTGTAAGTGTGTGCTTGTGTGTTATGAGAGTGAATGAGTGTGTGTATGTACGTGTGTATGAGAGTGAATGAGTGTGTGTATGTGTGTGTGCATGTGTGTATGTGTGTATGAGCGTGAATGAGTGTGTGTATGTGTGTGCATGTGTATAAGAGAATAAGTGTGTTTGTGTGTATGTGTGTGCTTGTGTGTGTATGAGTGAATGTGTGTGAGTGTGCGCGTGTGTATGAGCGTGAATGAGTGTGTGAGTGTGCACATGTGTATGAGCATGAATGTGTGTGTGTGTGTGCACACGCGTGTGTTTGCATGCATGTGCTGCATACGTGGTGTCGTTGTTGTCCTTCCCACCAGAGTCCTGCCCTGTCTGCATTCATCTCTGGAATGAACCTTAGAGAGACTTGCAAGCACACCCTCTTCCCAGCAGAGGGCAGCAGCACACATACCAATGCCAGGAATGCCCAGAAAGGGATTAACGGCGTCTGCAAATTAAAGCCAGTACCCCCTCACCAGTAGGCGTATTCGTGGGACACCCTGCGTTTGTCTGGATCTGTCCCCAAGTGCATAGCCTGTAGCTGAAGTTCTCCTGCCCCAACAGGAATCTCTCTAAACAGCTCTGAAGTCATCAAGCCTGGGTTCTGTCTCCTCTTAAGGCCTCTGCTGCTACTACACCAGGGCCAGGGGCCAACAGAGGCTGAGAAATGGCTGTGCACAATGCAGGCAGACACAACACCTGTGCCGTCCCATCCCTCACACTGCCAACTCCCCCACCAGCTTGCAGGTTTCCTTCCCTAACAACCAATGTTCATAAAGTTTATTGCTGTTCCCGGCAGCTGCTAGTGAACAAGACAGCCGCCATAAGAATTTCTTCCTGGGAAGGATTTATTCAAGTGCCCTGCTCAGAGCAGGAGGGGCTGCTGCTGGCCCCAGAATGCAGCCAAGAAGAGGACAGAGGGTACAGGGCAGAGGAGGGTTTTCCCAGGCTCCTGATAGGGCACAGTGGGACTTGGAAGCAAGGAACCCACACAGGAGGGACTCTTGCCTCAGACTCCCTGTCTGTACCAAGGATGGTCTGTCCCAGCCATGTCCTTCCTGTCCCATGGGCCAACAGTACCTTCAATAGAGCTGTGTCTGTGTGAGAGAGAGGGGGGGGAGTCCCACCAGGACAGGCTGGCAGGGCCAAAGAAACAAACAGTGAGAGAGAGAGAGAGAGAGAGAGAGAGAGAGAGAGAGGGAGGGACAGAGGGAGGGGGTGGCTCTGTGTGTGTGAGTGTGTCTGTGAGAGTATGTGTGTACAAGTGTGTAAGTTAGAGGGTGCAGGGCATCTGAAGATGGAGATGAATCCTACGGGAATGACCAGCTCTTGGTCTAACAAAGCTTTAATCAGGTGAGCAGCCTGATGCAGGTGCATGCCAGTGGAGTCCTGTCAGGGCCTAGTTAGGTGTGCTGTGAGGGAAGGAGTCTGGCTGCACATAAATGACTTCAGATTCCTCTATTGTTAACTGTTGTTTGTGAGTAAGTGTGGCAAGACTCAGAACAAGCATGCAGAGCCAGGTGTGGGCTACGCAAGTGTGTCTGGTGGCAGCCTCTGTGTTTTCCCATAGGGTCTTTCATGAGGAAAAATTATGAAGCTGGCAGCTTAAAAAATATAACTAAGCTAGGTGTGGTGGTGCACACCTGTGGTCCCAGAGCTTGGGGAGTGGAGGCAGGAGCGTCTGGAACTCAAGGCTGGACTTGGCTACCTGGCAAGTTCGAAGCCAGCCTAGGTTACCTGAGACCCTATTTCGAAGGGGTGAGTCTGGGGCCCCCTCCCATAACACCATGTATGGTTCTGAGACTCACGTTCAGGTCTTGCAGTCCCTGAAGAGCCCACAGGAACTATGGAGATGGGGTCCCCAAGATTCCACCACTGTCTAGGGCAGCAGAGATCTCCAATCTTGGCGGGATGTGGCTCTTTCTCCCAAGTGCATCTCTCCGTGGTGACTTACCATCACCGCCCACCCTCTCCTGGACGTCCCTGCCCCCAGGCCCTAAGACACTGCCCACAGACACTGATGTCACCCAACCCCATGGCCCCACCCAGGAAGAAGGGTGGGGCAGGTGGGACAGGACATGCTGATCCCTGGATCAAAAGTGTGAGGGACTTTCCCTGGATGTCTGTCTCTAGAAAGGTTTAACCTAGTGTGGAGGAAAGTGTCTGGCCCCAGCCCTGGCTTGCCCATGTGTGGGTCAGGGGGGCCACACTGCAGACCTGGCTTGCCCATGTGTGGGTCAGGAGGGCCACACTAGAGCACCCAGAAAGAGGGAGACAGGAAGAGATGGAAGAGGGACATTGCCCACGTTTCTAATGGCTGCCTGTCCCAACCCTTGCCACACATGCACGCACACACACTCACACACACACACACACACACACACACACACACACACACACACGCACATGCAAACACTCACACACATGCACACACACACACACTAACAAACATACGGGCACACACACACTCACACACACTCACCCCTCACACACGCATGCATGCACATGGACACACGCATTCCAAGCCACCAGTGCCCCCAACAGGCCTATACCCCATGGCGACCCCTGCCAGCCTGTAGGAAGGCCACCTATAATGGGAACAGGCCTGTGGCCTTGATGCCTTCTGTCCCTCACCCTGGCACCTTCAAGGGCTCAGCAAGGTGGTTCTTCCCCACCCTTCATCGAGGTAACACTCACCAGAGCCTCCTTCTGGGGGTGTCAGGGCACACGTAGTAGGGACACTTGCCTCTCTGTGTCCCCCTCTGTCTACAAGCATGAGGCAAAGGCCTGGCCCAGCTCGGTACTCTGCACTGGAGCCTGGGTGGAGCTTTCTGCCCAGGAGAACTAGGCTGCCAGTGGCCTGGGTAGGGAGGCCACCTGATCCCCTGGGGCTGGTATGCCCAGCTGTCAGCTGGGCGTCCGCAGCTCTGGAGCAGGGCCAGGGGTCTGGGAGGGAGGAAAAGGAGAGGAGAGAGGAAATAGGGGGAGGACTAGGAAGAAGAGGGAGCTTTGGGAAGGAGGAGGTAGGGGAGAGAATTTAGCTCAGCTATCTCGAAGGGTGACTGGCTCTGAGCACCAGGTGCTGATCACTACAAGGCCCCTGGGTATTTGCTTGTTTAAAAAACACTCAAGAACCAGGTGGTGGTGCACACCTTCAATCCCAGCACTCGGGAGGCAGAGGCAGGAGGGTCTTTGTGATTCTGAGTCCAGCCTGCTCTACAGAGCTACACAGAGAAACCCTGTCTTGAAAAACAAAGCATTTGAATACACCCCCCACTCCATGACATGCCTGTGGAGGTCAGAGGTCAGAGTGCACAGGCATTAGTCCTCTCCACATACAGGGTCCAGGCCAGGCAGCAAGTCCCCTTTCCCACCAGTCATCTCTTTCTTTCTTTCTTTACTTATTTGATGCTGGGGTAGAGGACAGGGTCTCATATCCAGTATGCTTGCAGACCTACTGAGCCCACCCCCAGCCTTTCTTGCTTCTCTTTCTATCCTTCTTCAGAATGGCACCCCTGCCCCCACCCACTCCCAGCCCCTCCCTGTAGGTGGCCTTCAGCTGTGGGTGCTCAGAGAGCCTCAGTCCTAGAGTAAGACCATCCATTTCTCAGCCAATCAGCAAGTAGTGCCAATAAGTTTTGCTGGAGGCCCTGTGGCTCTGGTACCCCAGCAGATAAGCCTGTCACAATAGGGACTGGGACTCGGGTGGGGACAGAGAGCAGCTTACCCCATGAGGGAGGCGAGAACAGACCTAGAAAACGACCATCTGACTGAAGGAGAAAGGGACAACAGGAAGAGGAGGAGAGGCGGGGAGAGGACCCAGCCAGGACACTGTGGTCGGCCGGGGTGGGAGTAGGGCAAGGTGGCCAGGAGTGACAGGAGCTGGGCAAGAGCAGACCTCAGGCCCAAGCGGAGGAACCGGGTTGCTAGAACACATTACACGGGAAGTCGGGCACAGGCTTGCAGTTAAAGGCTGGCTCTGCCGTGAAAGGAGCACCCTGGGAGAGTGACCACAGCTGTCCTCCTCCCAGGGACCTCCCAGTGGGCCAGGCCGGGTGGAGGGACAGAAGGTGAGCTGAGGAGGCTTGGTGAGGTCTGACCAGGGAGAGACGGCCGGCGGCATGGGGTAAAGGACAGACTTCGGGTCTAGGTGGCCGGGGATCAGTGTTTGCTTCTGTCCTTCAGGAGACGAACGTCTGACGCAAGACCGTAATGTCCGAGTGTGCAGGGAAGCCTGGGCAGCCCCGGGGACCCCTCCCTCTGGTTCTTCCCACTAACTTCCTTCCCTGTCTCTCCAGGCCCTGTGCTGTGGGCCTCCCCACACCGGCAGCCGGGGGGGGGGGGGGGGGGGGGTGAGGCACTGCAGAAGTTTCCTGGCACTCTGAATGAACACTGGTTGAAAGTGGGATGGGACAAATCAGGGGATTGATCCAGAGAGTAAAATGCTTACCTGCTGATCTTGGCCTGGCCTTTATCCCTAGCACTTAAAACAAGAAACAAACAAACAAGAAAACCAAAAGTGCAATTGATTCCATGTATGCCAGCCGGCTCCCCGGCCAGGCTGGAGATCGACTTTTCCAGGGAAGAAAGCCGGCTTCAGCTCCGCCCACCCACTGCACACACAGCTCTGGTTACCAACCTGGTCTCTTCAGCCTCCCCACCTGCTCTCTCCCCGGCCGCTCTCCCATGCCTGTTCTGGGAAACTTGGAGCCACCCAGGGCTGAGCAGTCCCTTGAGGGCCCAGAACATATGAAGCTTCCCACCCAAGCAAGGTGGCTAGCATGTGGCTGAGCCTGGACTCAAACCCAGGTCTTGAGGAAGGCTGCTACAAGCTGCCTATTGCTGTTATGGAGACCCAGGTGCCACCTGCCTTCTTTCTCATCTAATTAACACCGCCAGGCCCTACCGTGCAACAGAAAGACACAGTTCTTACCAAACGCCAGAGCCGGGCGTGGGAGCTTTCTATTACGTAATCAAGTAGGACACTTTATTTCTGTCCTTGGCCCCGGCCAGGCTCTCTCTGTGCCATTTTTTCCAAAGCCCAGCTTCACTTCTGAGATGCCTGCTGTTCAGCCTCTCGCCAGGACCTCTGTCCACCCATAGTCCCCTCCCCCAGGCATCCCCAGGGCTTCTGCTCCAGGACTGACATCAGCCCTGAGCAGCACACAGTCTCCTGGGAACGGCTGTCTGATGCCACCTTCTGTGGTGCTGGGGCTCACATACGCTTTCCAGCTGTTGGCAGAACCTCTCCTTCAAGGCGCAGGAGTGGGCTGGTCCCTCTGGGGCAGGCTGGACGTCCCCGCTGCCCCCTCCCCTAGCCCTCCGTCTATCATTAAACAAGACATCTCTCGGGTTGCTTTACCCTTGCCTGGCCTGCCCATCTCCTGCTCCTCAGAGTGACCTCAGAGTGACCTCCTAAGCCACAAGCCATCCAGTCTCTGCCTGTTCTCCGTGTGCAGTGCCAGTCCTGCCTGCCTCAGTGGCTCTGGGCTGGTCCCGTCCCCCACTGATCCCTCCCCTCATGCCTCTGCCTGGATGCCTCCTCCTCACTCTGTAGGTCCAGCCTGAGTCACCCTCCAGACACGCCTCTGCCAGCCTATGCATGGGGGCTCCTTGCTTGTCCCTTCCCCTCCAGGGTGGGGCCTGCAGCACAGCACTGCAGCACCTGCCTCAGAGTTAGCTTTCCTGTGGATGTGAGTGAGGGCATGCGTTAGTGTGTATGAAGTGTGAGAGTGAGAGTGACTGAGTGTGTGAGTGAGTGTGAGGGTGTGAGTGTGTATAAGTGAGGAGTGACTGTGAGAGTGTGAGTGTGAGTGACTGACTGCGAGTGAGGGTGTGAGTGTGTGTGTGAGTGAGGGTGTGAGTGTGTATGAGGAGTGAGTGTGAGAGTGAGTGTGAGTGAGTGTGAGAGTGAGTGAGTGTGAGTGACTGATTGTGTGAGTGACTGTGTGAGTGTGAGTGAGTGACTGAGTGTGTGAGGGTGTAAGTGTGTATGAGGAGTGAGTGTGAGAGTGAGAGTGACTGAGTGTGTGAGTGAGTGTGAGTGTGACTGTGTGAGTGTGAGTGAGGGTGTGAGTGTGTGAGGAGTGAGTGTGAGAGTGTGAGTGTGAGTGTGAGAGTGAGTGTGAGTGACTGAGTGTGTGAGTGTGAGTGAGTGTGCAGACTCATTCTGGGTCCTGGCTCCTCCATGTCAGGCATGCAGAGTGCCTTTTCTTGGCTTCTGGTAATCGGGGCCCTGGACTAGGTCACCATGGCCCTGAGGTTCCCTCCGTACCGGCTGCCTCTTCTCTGTTCCCATGACCCAGTGTTCCAGCTCTCGGAACAACAACATCAGTATCCAGGACATGTCGTCACCCGGCCTCGCCTCGCCTCGTAAACATGGGTGGCTGCTGACCTGCCCCAGTACCAGTGATGCCTGCCGGTCCTCCAACCTTGTGTGGTGCTGCACCCCTGTAATCCCCCCAGGAGTGGGAGATGGAGGCGGGAGCATCAAAATTCAAGCTCTTCATTGGCTATGTAATTGGAGGCCAGGCCGGGATCCATGAGGCCTGGTAGCAAAAGCAAGCAAACACCACACCCCGTTCGTTTCTCACAGAGGAGAGGCCTGGAGGCCAGCCGTCTGCAGTGATCCCCACCAGTGCCTCCCTCAAGACCTGGCCAACCTGGTGCCCAGCCCCAGCTGGAAATCCTGGGTATGGGCTCTGCCCCAGAGCCTGCTGAGCTCCTGTGGGGCTCTCAACAGCTGCATCACTAAGACCTGGCTGCAGCTGCTCTCTCATCTCCACCTGCTCCAACAAACCCAGGTGTCCACAGACTGCAGGGTCAGGGTATTGATCCATCAGATTGAGGATCTGCCTGGAAAGCAGCAGGTCGTCAGCATGAGGACCCTCCAAATAGGTTATATTACGGCAGGCCCAGTGTGTATGTGTGTGTGTAGAGGCCCGGCTCTGGGGAGA